CAGCTCATATCTTCAACCCTTGGATTAATTAGTTCGTATATAAATATAGCGATTTTCCAAGCGTAGCTTAGATGTGACACAAGGCCGAATGTATGGGGCACCCAGTAAGGATCGAACTCACTACTCATTCGTAATCGTGCTAGCGAGATAAGCTTGCTAACCATTACACCGCCTCGAGGTGCCCTTATCGATTTTCCGAGCGTAGCTTGGATGTGACATGGCCGAAAGTAAGGGGCACCCAGTGAGGATCGAACTCACTATTCAGTCGTAATTGATCTAGCAAGACAAGCTATCTAACCATTACACGACGAGGTGGCCAAAATGATTCTCTAAGTGTAGCTTAGATGTGGCACAAGGCCGAAAGTATGAGGCACCCAGTGAGAATCGAACTCACTACTCAGTCGTAACTTTTAGCGAGACAAGCTTGATAATCATTACAGTACACCATGCCGATATATATTAAGTTTGAATTAGACGGAATGATTAACTTATGGTGTTGATTGTCACTATCAGCATCAAAAAATGCATAACTCGCATATAGTGCTTATCTCGCAAGCCACTTGTTTGAGCGATCACGATGCTTCCTTCGCAATTGTTACACTTGCGGCCTTGTATTCAAATCTTTTCTCTTAATGACTAAAGCACGAAATAGAGCAACTGATATTTTTTTTTAAGATAAACACTTCCACTTGACTTGCCCTATGTCGTCGATATTTATTTATATATTTATTAGTCATATACTGATTATGAGCACCAATAGGGGATAGCAAATTCGCTAAGTGGCAGAGTGTCACTGTGTACATAGTGAGTTCAGTCAAATGCCCGGCTTTTGTCGTAGCTTGTCAGAACTGTCATTTTTCCATGAAAACAGGATTATTCACCACAGTAGCCACCGTTCAAATGATACAAGCTAGCTTAATTTGGGGCCAGTTCTGCGCATCCACTTCTTAGACAAAAAAAAGAAGGAAAAAAAAAAAGAAATATTTTCTGACCAATCAGAAAAGATCCAGGTGGTTTCTACCTTCTTCGTTTCTGAGCCTGTATTTATCCGCTCGCCCACTTTGCAAGAGAATATGACACAAAGATCGAAATCTAATGTGGGTTTTTCTGCACTACCGTTGAAAAATAGCTCAATCACCCTCCACATGTCCCCCTTTTAGGAGACGCCTCAGCCCCTTCCCGAAAGAGAGGTAGTGGTGCTCGAGCTATCATTATTTTCAACTTCCCGACAGAAGAGAACTTCGCCACTCTAACATTATATAAACCGCCAACAATTCGACTCTTCAACAGAATTCAACTCATGCGAGCGACCGTGGTCACTTACCTGTCCCTTGCCTATTTTGGCTGGGCATTCACTGAAGAAACACTACCCACTGAAAACCAATGCCGACGCCTCAAAACAGCAGCGCCAGGAGTCCGTTGTTAACAGCAGCAGCCGAGACCGCTACGTACTAAAAAATCTCTTCACCTACTATACAGTGTATCCCATACACATGTATATTTTCTTCGCGCGATCTTTCTCTACAACTACATTGAAATACTAACTGGGACAAACTCTAATCATTGCCGTTTATCAATACTTTATCTCCATTGACGTGTGTTACTTATCATTCTTTTCCTGCTAGCGTTAGTTATGGTACCCTAGACAAGGGTTTGCGAAACTTCTCGGTGCCACCTACCCTTGAGTATGATAAATGTTTTTCGCGGTACTCTAACAATTTAATCTTTAAAAATACATGAAAAAAAAAGAATAAGTTTATTTTTAATGCTTGCTATTTACAAAAAATGAAATCAAACTTTACGACTAAAATGCAGCTGTTGTTTTGAGATGCAAGACTTTTCAAAGTCGGGCATGATCGATGTAACTTGTAGTTTTATATCATTCTATTCATTTTTAACCTGTTTCTACACATATCTTGGTGACACCCACGCAATATCAAACAAAGTATACAAATGTATTTGTTGATTATTTTCTCACAGAAAAGTATAAAGATTTTAGCAATTTATCCCTTTTTGGCATTTGAAAGTTTATGATAAAATTTTTATATATTCTGTTTACAAATAGTGTTCTTTCTCCTTTGTTGGCACGATTCTGAAAGAAATAATAGAAAGGCCTGCGGAGCCCCTGGACATCATCCACGTAGTCCTAGGGCCTGCGAAGCCCATTTTGGAAATTCTAATAATTTATTATTATCCAGCTTATAATAAATAAATATTGATAATAACTTGTTTGGGATATATTGTATTTTATTATGCATTTTTTAAATTATTATTTACCCAATACAAGATTTAAGAGCCACTCAAGATAGAGCGTTACTGAATCAGGCGAGTGGTGTGGCCGTAAGAGTAGGCAATAGGAAGTAAAGGTCATGATATAGAGGATATAAAACGAATGACTCTGGATAATTGCAGCATCAATTTCTATTTATGAATAAATCCGAAAGGTATAAGACAAAAAAAACTATATTTGATTAACATGATATTCATTTTACGTGAATAAATCATCATTTTATAATCTACATGTAAATATGGGCTCCTTAATATTCTATAACCTTCAACAGTCTTTTTTCCCCACTGATTTTGTTAACTTTTCGACTGTTTTAACTTTCACGTGACTTGCAATAGTTTTTGTTACTTCCCAGATATTCTTTTGATTGGATTTTTTTTTCCATTCTCATATAAATTTATTTAATTATAGATGACAAGTTTTCTATTGGATTAATATATGGAGAGAATGGGCACAAGTCCGTTAATTTGGTGCCGTTGAAATCTTTTTGAGGGTCAAGGTGGGCAATTATCAGCTTTGCAGAATGTGAAGGAGCATATACTGTTTAGCTTAAATCTTCTTGATTATGATTTATATCACTAAAAAGTTTTGTCTGCAAACTTATAATAATTCTCTATATTTATCTTGATGCCATCATCGAAATAATTTTACTATCTACAATACTAGCCCAAAACATTACTCCGCCTCTTGCCTGTTCTCGTGTTTGTTAACTATTCCTATGAAAGATCTAACTTCTAACCAGCTATCAGGTCCATCCAATGTAGCTCTATATTCATCGGTAAAAAAAAATTCTGTTGAAAACAAAAAAAAAAAAAAAAAATGAAATATTGTTTATAACTTTTTGGTTTCTGAATGTTCTGCCACTTATGAAATATTCTAGTGATCAAATGAAAATATGTAGGAGCTAAATCAGGTGAATATAGAGAATATAGAATAGCCTCCCATTTTTACGATATTATTTTTTTTCTTTGGTTTGTAATATAGAAGATACTTGTACATTATCATCCTGGGAAATAACACCTTTTTCTGCTTACGAAAGCAGCACACATTTGACGCAATGTTTCGTTTATTTGATCTAGTGACTGGCAATAATAAATGTTGCCAGTGATGGTCCTTCTATGTTCCAATAGATCACAATGGACGTCACCAGACACAAAGAAAAGACTTATTTGGATAGTATCCTGATTTGGGTGTTGGAACTGGTTTCCCATTTTGCGATAAGCTCTGTTTTTGTTATTTCCCTGTTGACATTTTTCATCACCTGTAACAACGCGATGCAAAAATGGAGTGTAGGCATTCCTGGTTACAAGACTGCATCGTATTCGGTTTCAAGTGAGAGAAACCCAAATTGCCTCATTTCAAGTTTTCCCAATTAAACTCAGACATGCACAATAAACAACATGCTCTCGGATAGAAGAGATGATAAAACGATTCTAGGCTTAGTTTCTTACCATTTAAACTTGATTCTACTTTGGGTAATTCATAGCAGAGAAATATGTAATTTCTTTGCCAACACCCTAACATAATTCCCTATTTTGCAGAATTCTAGTAGAAGCTTACAAATTATTGGTCTTACAACTAATTAAATAGAGAAAGTACCTTTGAGGTCATTCAGGCGACAAATTTACCTCTCACCTACCTTAAACAAATAAGAATTACGAGTGGTTGTCAAATATAGAATAGAATCAGGGTGTATAGCTAGGTCTTAACCTAGAACGGAACAGAAAAATGCAAGACGGAAATATTGGGGACGTGTAGGACTAAGAAACCGATATATGTTACCAGAATCTATCATACCTACTCGAATAGTTTAAGGACCGCAAAGAAGAAATAAACGAATCTATTATGTGGATGCGCCAACATCAAACGTAATAGTACAGGCTAAAAGCTTGTCAGATGGAGCGTGGGCGGTAACGCGAAGAGGGATAGGCCTGTCATTTGTATACGGGGAAGGGGAACCGATAATAATCGCGAAGACTACGTCTATCTAACCGTTGTATACTTTGGAACCTATGGAGTGCTCAGTTTTTGGGTGGTTTATCACCATTCCGCTTACGGTGGAAGAATTTGAGATCAAGGTGTTTCCCAACTCTTTTATGCCTCGCCAAGCAAGTGGACAGACTTAGAGGGCCTACTGGTAAGGAAACACTCAACGTAACTCTATTAGGACCCGTAATAGGAGTAGATAGGTTCAGCTATTGTCCGGTTTACACTCCTTCCTAATCTTTTAAATAGAAGTAGAGGTTTATCTCTTGTTTCCTATTTAGGATGGCCTTTCCGTTTTCTTTGGAAGTTTCCTTCAACTCTATACTTCTGACGTCTACGCCTAAACTCTGAAAATTCACTTAGGATTCATTTTTTTTTTTTTCATGTGGGTAGATAGGTTCGCCTATCGTTCTGTTCAAATTCCTCTCCGTTCTCATGAACAAAAATCGATTTTTTTGGTTTTCTATGGCTTGTCAAGCCTTTGCAGTTCATTTAAAGCCAGAAAATATTTTTAGCTTATAATTTTTTTTCTTTTGGAGATAATACTGATTTAGTGATACAAGTCTTACTAATTAACCCATAGCTTGGTGGGTAGAACATGCGAATTCATGACTTTCCCAAGGGTATTTGCGCGAAAATGAATATAACGAACCCAACTGAAAATGGAAATCGGTTCACCCATTGCCAATTCGGGGCCAATATCCACTACACCAACCGAACATCCAAACTTACAGCACTTCGTATTCCCAAGCGGTCACCCATCTAGGTACTGAACAGGATCGACTGCTTAACTTTGGTGATCGTACGGGAACTGGTGTTTGAAAGGGATATGGCCGTAAGCCAAAAGGAATAAAGGTTTATCTCTTTTTTCCGATTCCTTCTAAAGTCTTTTAATTCTTTTTCATCCCCAGTAACCTCTCGCGTTTTAGTAGCATTATCGCCTTGCTTCGGGTGAATTGATAAACAAGTATAAAAGATTGAGCTGCACAAAATTAGAGAATGTGGGCAAAAAATCCCTACCTGGAATGGTCAGTCTGCAGGCATTATAGCCTAGTCATCACTAGATGGAAGAATCATGGCAGTAATGGTAAGAGTAATAATATTAACAGTCTGGGATGAACGATAGTTGATATTGGATATGATGTAAAACGCATCAAGAAGAGAACGTGATAGCAGAGAAGGACTATTGATAGATATAGTAATGACCCAAGTGATAAACGAAATTGAAATTAGCCCCAAAACGGACTAATTGAACACATTATATTCAGTATAAGCGTCCTCCGAAGAACGACTAGGGTTAACTGCTGTAAGAGTGAATACATAAAAATATATAGGTTTTTCAGAACATTTCGTCTTGAGGATAGAATTCTTTTTAATCTTTTCATGCGTACAGTTGGACTTAGCGAAAACAAATAGTTTGCATAACGAATGGAATGTTTTGTTGATTATGTTGGATTTTTTTTAATCATATATCAAGACAGGGAAACCAATACGACGCAAGGAGTTACTGAGTGTGAAATAATAAGAAAAAAGAAAAATATTATTAAGTAGCGAGAACAATAGACGAGTAATCAAGAAGACAATAGATAATGATTGCCATTGCATTTAAATGTTTGAAGATCAAAGTTGATTGGAAAGTATGTAGCCGGAAGACAGTTTCACAAGTGAAAAGTGCGAGAAAAGAAGCTGTTAGCATAAAACTTATGGTTAGATCTAAACAATTCAACTTTGAATTGATGAGACCTTGCCACCAATCTAGGTGCCATAGCGAAGAGTTCATCTGAACAATTACCATCTATGTATAGAAAAGGCAGAGGAAACTACATTATAGCGGTAGCAAAGTGTCTGAAGCTGAGACGTCAGGTCAAGACCAATAATATTGCTGATTCTTCTTTGGATTTTATCAAGAATCTCTAAATATATAATAGGAGCACCTGACCATATGTGGAAGCAATATTCAAAGCAAAGCCGAATGGTAGACCTATAAATATGTAAGATAGATTCTGGAGAGAAAAATTGTCTGGCACGACACAGTGAACTAACTCTCTTAGCAGCAGATCTCGCAATGGATTCAACATAATCTTTCTACTTCATGTCAGCCAAAAATGTAAGTCCGAGAAGTCACAACGAGTCACTCCCAAGGAGGTTAGTATCAGCCATGCTGATGGTAGGCAGGAAGGGGTATTTGCATGTAACGGCCTCTTGCAAGGCGTGGAAGTGGAAGAGACGTTGTTATGAATAAAAAAAGGAAGGTCATGTGACATGATGTTTCCTGAATTGTTTAGAAGGTTACGTGGTTAACGCTTTCAGGTATAGAGGTGGTGTGAATGTTGTGGGGGGTCAAGCATGTTGGCGTTTCCTGGATGTCTAGAAGGTTACGTGACTAACGCTTCCTGTCAATAGGAGGGTGACGAATGCTGGAAGGTTTTGTGAAATAATTCTTCCTGGTTGTTTGCGAGGTTATATAGTTAGCGGCTCTTTTTGTAGGGCCTGTGTGAATGTTGAAATGTCAATTAACAGTGTACGAATATGCTGCTTCTTAGTGTGGCGATGAAAGAGCTGTGGAGATTGAAAAAGCAAAATAGAGAAAATTATTTTATTTACATATTTTGGTAGATATTTGCAAAGTTATGTTGCTAATACTTCCAGTCGTGGGGGTGGGGCGAATGTTGAAATGACATGTGACTTGACTCTCCCTGAATGGTTGGGTGTTTATGTTGCTAACGATTTCAGTTAGTGGGTTGAGACGAAGGTTATTTGTGTTGACACTTCTTGGATGATTGGATTGGAAGGTTATGTTGCTAAGGACTCCAGTTATTGACGAATGTTGGAAGGTCAGGTGTGTTGACGTTTCCAGAATGTTTGGATGGCTATGTTGCTAACGTTTCCAGTTCACGAGGTTGGACGATGTTAAAAAGTGGTTTATTTTGACGCTTCCTGGATATTTGGATGGCTATGTTGCTAACATTTCCAGTTATGGAGATGTGACAAATGAATCTGTCACGTCTTTCCTCTATACTGCTAATCGCGGTCCGCTTAGCTAACAACGTTAAACAGCTGAGATTGAGCCATCTATGCTTGCGAAAAAATCTATCAATTTGGCTAACAATTATAAGGGAAATATCTGTAAGCAAATAGCCTCAAAAAGGTTTATGTTTGCGGGACACAAGAAGATTAAATAAAATGTGTAGGGCCCACGACATGTGTAGTGCGACTGTTTGGAAGTAGATGCCTCCACGTGTTATAAAGCAAGCCCTGGTCTGTACATTAATGACAATTGGCTTACACTCGAAAGAAAGAAAGATTTTCATAGCGGGATCGTAGATTGCTATAACAAGGTCATTACGGTAATTGTCTATGCGATGTAATTTAACACTTTAGAAACATTTCAGATCCTTTTTAAAACATTTTTGAAAAATAGTATTGGTGACCATACACTTAGCCGCTACTTAGCGTAATTTTTTTCATACGTACAATAACCGTTTTTAATTACGCATAGATCGATACAACCATTAAAAATAATGTATAAAATATGTGTAACAAGACATAAAATATAAAGTCTAAAACATTTTTTAAAACCAGAACTGTGATGATGCCCCCAGACTTAGCATAAGCCACTTTTATGACCCCAGCCGCAGCCCCTAACAAAGAACAAAGCCCAAGCACTACGCATGTTTTTGCGTTTATTTTTATTTATTTTTACAATGAAGATGTACAATTGTGCCAATATTTTCCATAAAAATGGACTATTGTATGTTTTAACTTAACAGGAAAACAATACAAGAATATTTTAAATATGTTCTATCGAAAAAAATACGCGAATCGAGGGAGTTATCAGCGAATAATTTGTAAATATGTTCTTCAGAAAAACACATGAATATTCGGTGTTTCCAGGAAAAACAAATACATATGTTCTAAAGAAAAATTCCCGAATTTGTGAAACCAAGAATGCTGAAACGTGAATAGGCGGGGGCTCACTGTATTTCGTTATTTTTTAAAGAGAGACTCATTTTTCTTATACTAATCTGGAAATGGTCAAGGATCGAAAAGTACAGAGTGGAGCATTAAAACAATTTAATTAGTAAATCAGTGTAATTTACACGGGTCTTACTTACTACTATCGTATCCGTAATGTAAACTTTGTAAAGGCAAGTTTTCCATTCTCGGCCGAGAAAATTCCGTGTTATTTTTTTATTTAAGAACTTCACCCAAACAAGGCGTGAGTACCGCTAGTACGCAAAGGGACTACAGAGAGTGAAAGTAAGGGAAGAGACTTGGTTAGGGGAGGGGATTGAGGAAAGGATAAAAAGAAGAACGAGGGGTCAAGGCATCAGATGATATCGATTGACATTACATTAAAATGTTTGAAGATTATAGTTATCACGGAAGCAAGTAAGAGGAAGGGAGTTCCATTGTCCGGAAGTTCGAGAGAAGAAGCTGTTGGAGTAGAAGATGCGATTACATTTAACTGTTTCGACAGCATTTAATGAAAAGACAAGTAAATGATATGAACATACGTCTTGTTTTTATTGTTTTGTTTTTTTTTTTGTTTTTTTTGTTTTGTTTTTTTGGGGGTTTTTTTCTGAACGCCATTGCACAGGTAAGACGATAATTTTAAAAATACCAGGTCTGTTAGATATGATGAATTAAAACTTTCAAACTTATGGTTTCTGGGTGAAGCATTGCTTTTTCATGTTGTATAATGAGCCCAACGTTTTTGTTTGTTTGATTGGTTGTTGTTTTTTTGTTTTTTGTTTATTTTTACTACTGTTCATCCAATACAAGGCCCAATAGCCACTCAATGTAGAAGCTTAGTAAACGAGGTCTTTGTATGGATCTAAGACGAGGAAATAAAAATTACAGATTATAAGGATAACGGTTAACTTTAGACTTAAAAAGGTTAAGATTGTAATAAGTATCCCTTAACATTCCCTTCCGCAAAGTAGCAGTTCTTGTGAAGAAGCTGAGTGGAACCTCTTTTTTTTTATCAATGGCATACGTAGGGGATGAGGAAGATTCGACTCTATGTAAGTGGCATATCGGGCCTTAGCTGTAAAGGCCTGAACTGGTAGAACGAAGGAATGTAGCTCGTCTGAACATTTGCCATGGAAACAGCAACAGAGTAGAGAGAGGCTTGCGACGTTTCGCCTATGGGAAAGGAGGTTGTAAGGTTGAAAATAATTCATCAAACACAAGGCTGTGTAAAAGATCTTGAACTCTATCATGGCTGGAAAATGAGAATTGAACAGCTCCGGCCCAGATATGGTAGCAATACTCTATTTTTGGTTTGATATGACTTTTGTAAAGATAGTGCATGATAGGAAGAAGCAGGTACTTTCTAGAGCGGTACAAGGAACCGGCAATTTTCTGTTCACCAAAGCAAGGTGTAATGCACTCCTGCTATGTTTACGATATTACCAATAAAGGTGTGAAGTTATGAGATCTCCAAGATATTATGTAACTGATAGTGGACGATAACCAGCACGTTCTCCAAGATGCATATCAAAACTTTGTGAATGAAGTCCTGTTTTAGTATTTGGATCGTCTTGACATTGGATAATACTCGCTGCTCTCTGCGGTTGTTGTTAACTCACTTCTCATCTCCTGGAACATTCTAGTGAAGAAAAGATAGGTGTTGATTGTTAATAAGCATAATATTGTTAATAGTTGAACTTTGTTTCTTGTTTTGAGGTTTCACGGGGAACCGAAATTCTCTCCTTAGATTCCTTTCCAATTTGTTTGAGATGCTGAAGTATATTTAAATATGATTAATTGTGCTTTTTTGCTAAATCTCTTATGCTTCGTAAATGATCTTCTTTAAGAAATGCCTTTAAAGGAA